CCACACTTACAAAAAGTAATTTCATAATTTGTGCAAAACTTTACATTAAAATAACAACATTTAATGATAAATGAATAAAATTATTTCACCTTTTCATTTCTTACAAATTGTCTATAGAAAGTAGTAAAATTATTGTGCCACTTTTAATATTTCTCCATGGATTTTTATTCTTTTGTAATATAGTGAATATATTAGAATAAAAAATAATAACTGCATTAATTTTACAGTAAAGACATACTAAGGTTTGATGAACTTAAAGGCCTATTCTAAATTTCACTCACAGAAGAAGGACAAGAAAATTCAACAACCTCAGGTATCTAACTATATTAATACAGTTAAAACATAACCAAGGGAAGGGACATTTAAAAAGATTTTTGCGTGTCTATTTGTTAAAATGTTACATATCTTCCTATGGACAGTTCCTAAAATAGCTGTGTAGGGACTTACTATGTCCAGAGTGTTCAATCACTTTTAGAAGGTACTCTATAAACATGCAATACAGAAGTGAAGTTCCTAAATCCTATAAGGAACAGAGCTTCTGTATTTACTCTTGTTTATAGTTTATACAAATAAACTGTGTAGAACAAAGTAAACTTCAAACTGAGTTTATAAACACACCTTATAGAGTTATTTACAAAATGCCTCCAGAGTACTACAAAGCATAGCCATAATTTTACTATTTTCTGTTTATTTAAGATCTAATCAGGGCTTTATAGAAGAAGAAAGTGGTTCTTGGCATTTCCTTTCAGAATCTGTCATCTTCTAGTACTCAACTGTGATGTTCATTTTCAATAGTTATTTTCACTTGCCTTTATAAATGCAGTCCACTAGATTCTCAGGCAAAACAGAATCTGGATATAAATGCTTAGGGTTCCTACTTAGGAGAGTTAGAAGGAATATTATCATCACTCCACTGGAGTGATATTTCCTGAAAATACATTAAAGGAAGAAAAAGGCTCTCCTGCAACTGGATTTATTAATCTGTAAAATAGGCTAATTCTCAGACTTTGGGTGACCTTCAATTCCCATGATGGGAATTAATAGAATGTATCAAAACAAAATAAAAATTATCTTCCTAATAATTACTATGAAAAATGGCATGATTCTAAAATGATATATAAGCCATACAAAGTGCTATGCCTGGCTCTTTAAAAAAAAATCCTTTAAAACAATGACTAAAGGTTGAGACATAATTCAATCAATATAACTTTTTAATACTGTTATTATTTTAAGTAATCATTCTATTAAATTTCACTATAGTGTGGGTATCTGCTCCAATTTTTGAGATGCATTTTTCTCACTATTTATTACCTTAAATATGTGAATGATATATCAATCTGTAACATTTTCAGTAATAATCCATTATTTTGGTGAACTTAATTTTAATGATTATTTTTTTTGAATTTAGTTTCAATGTGTGATACAGACTATTAAAGAAATAATATTAATTGTGAAACATGTAGAATCTTTCCAAACAGGTATGCTCAATCTGGCCTAATGTAAGCATATACTTTGAAAGCTTTCTATTCTGTCACTGTTTCTGCAGACTTGAGTCACTGAAGAATAGAATGATTATTCTTTAACTGGAAAGAAAATTTCATTGCTAGAAAAACGGAAAAAGTGGATCTTTCTTGTAAAGAGAATAGTGGACTGCTTAAAACCTTTATTTTTCAGTTGTTTATTTTTTCTAGATTTAGAGAGCACAATAGTATTTTATGAGACACCAGGAGAACACAAAAAAGTGCTCTTACATGTTATCAAAAGATTATATTCAAAATACCCGGGAATGAGTTTTCAAGAAAAGCGACATAGATGATCACACTGTTTACATGTTTCACAATCTCTCCACAGATTTCCACTAATTAAGAGATAATATTTGCAACTATCACGGGCAAGCATCTGTGTTGTGAAAAGTCCTTGTGGTCCTTTTCACCTTAGCTCAGACTTGGAAGAAATTCATTGTATAAGCAAGTATCAAGTAATGTGGCCCTCTGGTGGAAAACTAAGAATCACGTTCTGCAGCACATTAGACAGTAAACTGGAAGCTGTAAAATATTTGTTACAAAGCTTTACAGACCCTTTCAAAAATCACTCCATGAACTTATTTAATACCTTGACACCTGAAGAGCACTCTGGTGCTGGTATGACGTAACTAATATGAAAATCATCTTTACTCACTCTTCAATCATGTTCCAGATAATAATAAATTCTCAGCACCCTTTGGCTTCAAACAACATGCTCAATTTTCTAGGAATACATTTTTCTTGTTCAAGAAAACAGGCTTATTTGTCTTAAGGAAGTACTGAGCAAGACACAACTTACCTGCTGTTGTTGCAGATGCAGCAGTTCCACTGTGCTTACTTCAGAGCTGGTGTCACCACTTGATCTTCCATCTCTGCTGCCAGCATCTAATTGGCTGCTTAGAGTGCTCATTCCATTTTGATTCATTGAACTGTTGCTTATTGTCTCTGTCGCAGATTCCTGCATCATGACTTAATAC